GGACATGTCTGGGAAAATCAAGGTATCTTTTCTAAGTCAAAATAAATTTCATCTATTGTCAACAAACTAGAGGAAAGATTTAAAAATTATTGGGAGGGGTTACTTTATAATGATGACAAAAAGGCAAGTGGTAATAAGTTGAGAACATACCAAAATTTTAAAACAAACTTATGCATAGAAAAATATTTATTTACAGATATTGACAAAAAAAGCATTACAACATTTGTTAAAATACGAATTAGCAATAGTAACTTCTATATTGAAAGAGGTCGATCTCTCAAACTGCCAGTAGAGTAGAGGATTTGTAGACTGTGTAATTCAGGAGTTGAAGATGAATTTCATTTTATTATTACATGTACCAAACTAAAAAAGCCAAGGGAAGAGCTATTTAGAAACATTCTTTCTGTTATACCTTCTTTTTCTGAGTTTGAGAAATTTAAATTTATAGTAAGCAGTAATGACTTAGATGTATGTAAAATATGTATTTAAGGTGTCAACAAGATGTATGATATGAATCTGTCTTTAAAACGACACGTATAATACTAATCACTCACTTTTGTATAAATTTTATTTCTACTGAATTAAAGTATTTTCATTGTTGTGTAGTAAGGGAGATAACCTGTAAATTTCTTTGTAATAACAAGTGTGGACACAGATCAGTGTGGATAGTATGTTTGAATGTTTGACAGTTTTTTCCGACAAAGAGACTTCTCTTGTTTTTTTTTTCCCGCAGGGTTCTACATCAAACTGTGTTGCACATTGGCAGCCAACCTGAGCCAAACACTAAACATTAGCAGTGTTTTTAATTTAATATTTAGTTTTAATGTTCAAGACTGTCATGGAGAACCTACTTGCATTGATTTCCAAATAATCATGATAAAATAAGTTCCACATCTTTGATATTTGGATACATTTGTAGCTAGAAGAGGAACACATTAGGTTTCTTTCGGCATGATGTGATTTTTTGTATGGGAGATGGTATCTGAGAACATGCATGCATGTACTATTTGCATGGTTCTATTTATGTTACTTTGTGGTTGATCTTCCCAGTATCATTAATAAAATATTTCATTTAAATGTCGAAATTGTTTCTCAGATTAGAAAATATTTAATGGTTTTATGTAATGACAATGCCTTACACGATGCTTGGGTCTAGATGAGCTAGAAAGTAAACTTCTGTGTTATTTTTTATTAGTTCTTTGAAAATGTCTTCTCCAAAGTCTGGTCAAAATAAAAAAGTTTTGACCAGTATGCAAATGATATCAACAAAAGACCCTTTGTGAGCATGCTTCAGAGACTCATAATTGCTGCAAAAGTCAACTGATGAGATTTCTAGTGGATATGAACATCTACTTAATATGTTCTAATTATCTAAAAAGTTCTAGTATTCAAAATGGAAAAGGTACTGCAAAAATATTCTCGTTTCAAGATAATTTTGTTATACGGATACAAATGCAAGTGATACCCGTACAGTGAGCTAGTTTTGTTGTGGTATAGTGTTTCCTGCAGTTTTTGAAAAGGGCATGGTAATTTTTTTTCTCAGAAGACACACTTAGCGCGATTGAATACACTTTAAGGGAACCCTTTGCACGGAGGACTACACTTTAGGGCACTCAAGTTTTCATTGATATAAAAGTACTGTAATGGATAGAAAGGTGATACATGTACAATTCAAAATGTTTTTAAATTCATTGTTTCATGCAAGTTTTATACATTTATTTCCCGTGCCTGAGGGAGATATGAAGATTTGTTCACCCAAGAATAGTCTCACTCTACAAATCCTTTATGATTGTGACACCGCCTCAGTGATCTCATGGTAGCGTGTTCGCCTCGAGTGCGGGAGGTCGTGGTTTCGAACCCGGCTGAGTCAAACCAATGACTTTTAAATTGGTATTTGCTGCTTCCCCGCTAAGCACGCGACATTAAGGAGCAAGAGCAAAGACTGGTCTGCTCGGAATCAGAATAATGTGTCCGGGTAAGGTGACATGTCTTCCTGCGGACTATTACCTTGTGAACTAGAACGTTAAAAATTCGGCTCAGCTTGTCTGTCTAGTATAATGCAGGGTAAATATACATATTACATTAACATGTTCTCGTCCTGAATATGCATATTGATTTGTCGCTGGACGTTAAGCAGCCATCATCGTCATCTTGTATGATTGTGCAATTATTTAATTCAAGTTCACAGTTATATAATTATTTGATGAAATAGGCTGCATTCATTTGAATGCAATTTCCAAGGAATTGTGCATGGTGAACAGATTGTATGAAAATTGTAAAACAATGCATGACCAGTTTAACAAACAATAGTAAAACTGTAAATTACATAAATATGTACAGTTTTTCAATTGTTTGACGAACCTGGGTGCATTACTTTACGTGCACAAGCATGCACAGTTTTACAAATTTTTGATGATCTAGGCTGCGTTACTTTACATGTATACATGAACTGTTCACTTGTACAAATTCCAGGGGGAATTGTGCATTGTGTACAGATCATATGAAAATTGTAAAACAATGCATGCCCAGTTCAATAAACAATTGTAAAACTAGGCATGCCCAGTTCAATAAACAATTGTAAAACTGGGCATGCTCAGTTCTACAAAATCATGTGACAAAACATACTACTTTCATCAGTCACTCGGAGTTTTTTTTTTTTTAATAACGGGTGAAACATATAGCATAATAAGGTGGTTTACAGAAGTAAAGTTAAATTCTTGGATTTTTCGTAATGTCTGAACTTTACATATATTATATACATATAATTTCTATATTTATACATAGTGACTAGAAAAATCTACGTAATAGTGTTAGAGAAGATCTGTGCTGGCAGCTGTACTGTTAGGCCTAAAATTGCACAACCGCATTATTCCCTCCTCTACAACAGTTGATAAAAAAAATCAGCTTTCGTTTCGGGAGGTGTTACCTTTTCGTCTGTATTGAACAAGGCCGTGACGAAATATTTTAAGTGTACAGGAATGATCATCTCCTCATATCATTAGTTTACATGCAGGATGCTATTTTTTTTTATATAATGCGTTATAGTTATACGATTGGTGTATTTTTGTCATCATAAAACAGGTAAATTTCTTATGAAAAAGATAAGCCACAATTTTACCTTGAATTGTGAGATATTGTATGCATGTCAGCACGAATGCTCTATAAATATTATATTTTACTTATCATATGGGTTCAATACAATCAATCAAGTTACAGATACAGACGAAACAGTAAATTATGATTAATTTATCAGTTATTGGCTCGGGTGGGTCGTGGGGGAAGGATGGCACTTCCATCCTTTTGTTTTGTGGTAGGGCTGAGCAGCTGAGACATCCGGTACCCTTTCCTTTCCAGATATTTTGAATAACAAAAATAACATACCCTAAGATATATTTTTTTTTACAAAGAATACAGCTATAGTTATCATGATTGTGCTATTTCATGGAGATATAAATAAATTTGACAAATATCTGACGCATTTACGACGATGTTTATAATCGCATCTGTGAAAAATATCGAAATTGATAAAAAGCTTTAAATAGTGAGCTATTTTAGCGGCTCATCATTGGCACTCATTACATAGTAATCACCCCCCCCCCCCCCCCCCCCCCCCCCCCCCCCCCCAACCGAGGTTATTAGTCACCAAGTGATGCACCATGATTTGTGTGGTCTCTTTCTTATTTTTTTCAAAGTTCGTGTCAGTTGCTGAACCAATAATATCCTTGAACCATTAACTTAACATAGATGAGCCATTTTATTTACGACCACTATTACAGCGTAATCAATGCTAATATATTCATTTGCTTTCTTGAAAAGGAAATCGTGTACAAAGTTCTCATATTTAATATTCACAATTTCTTCCCAAAAATGTTTCAAGATCATCAATTGTGACAGAAAATCTCCAACAGATTTGGATAGTCATACGTATCTCAACAATTTATTTCTGCAATGGCAATCCATGTTATATGACTTCGTTGCATGTTTTTTTTTTTTTTATTATTTTTTCTGTGACAATCCTGCATTTGGATTTTTAAACCAATAAAATGATTTTATTTTTCTATGTTCACTTTGATCTGTTTATGTAATTTTGATAATAATTTTCCAATTCATCACTTTTTCAATCACTTGTAATCAAGATATGTTACTTGATAATACATATTTTAGGAACAATAAATTGATTTTTACAAGACATTTTTACCCCCTATGGGTACTTCCTAAACAGGTACAATTATTTGACAATACCAGAAAATATAAATTGATTAATTACTTCCCTTGTACTTTTTCAACACCTTTGATCTTGTCAGATTTGATATCATTAATAACTAGAAAAACAAAAATCTTCTTTCCTTTAAAGAAACTGGAAATATATAAAAACAAAAAACAAAAAAAAACAAAACCATGATATTTGATATTGTTTTAATGTTGAGTTGTTTCCCTTTAAACGCATGGAAAAGTTTTATAATCTTCCCAAACTGCTTATTTTTTAGTAAATAAAATCAATACTAAATCATACTTTATTGATACGATAAGACACATCTCGGATAACATTTTGCATGGAAGTCGGTGGAACATTGTCGTCCCTGGTCCGGATAGGATGTTTGTAAAACAATTCTTTAAGTAATACAGTTATGTTTATTTATCATGACTATGCACAACCCAGAACTACTTTTATCAAAACTCCCTTAGTTGTTACACCACAAATGTCCATTACTATAAAAACTATGAAATATTATTCAAAACGCATTTAACACAGTATTAATTCATTGTTGTGAAATCACCCGGTTTAATAGTTGCACAGATAACATATTAATAAAATTTAATACTTTATATACAAATTCTCATCGTATCGTTTACATTTTGTTGCGTGTTTTAACCTAATATCTCATGCAGGCTCCATATTTTATTTCAATCATTTTACATATTTACAGATGTTGCTTACAAAACACAAGAAATTGAGAAATCTTACACAAACATGATACAGATTTTTACTAGGGCAGGTACAACGTACACCTGTGCCATCCGGATGATATTAAGAAATAAAACCACATTCAACGTCTATTTCACTAAATTTATTTTCATACAATTATTCACACCGAAGCTTTGCAAGAACTAGGAAATGGAGTCCATCATTTGTTTAGAATTGATATTGAAACATGGAAATATTTCATGCAATGTGTAAAAGGTAATATTTTAACATTGTCACATCTTGACGTTTAATATGAATTTTGATATGACCCTTTTTATTTTAATAAAGGACAATAATTGATCTGATAAGATCAGCTGGATATCAGAGAGGCACGCGATCTTGACTTATTGAAACCTAAATTAATAAAGTCGAAATATTATATTGCTTTAAATGTTTTATCATTCATCGGGAATTTATAATATTCTGCGTCCTCATAATGTTTTATTTCGCGGAAGAAAGCAATGTGATATATGATTTGTTACAATGTATATAACCTTTTTTTACAGAAATTTGCCTCAAATAAATTAGGTTTTGCTAAATATTGTATGGGGTTGTCTTCGTCGCCGTAATACTTGAAGTCCTTCGATTTAATGCGAGAGTAAGTTATTGATCAATTGGCCTTAAATCTAACAGCAAACCTTTTTTATTTCAAATTTAAAGATGAAAGTAATTGTTTTACAAAAATAGTCCTTCCTAGTGTAATAGATTAATAAAACCCTTCTTTTTAGTTATGCCAACATTAAACTAGCAAGTTATTTAAATCTCATCCAGTCAGTAGCTTTTCATCTCGCTACTATCCGTGACTTATAATTTCTTTATTCACCCCAAGTCTAATGCCTAGTTTTCTATAATCTTTTTTTCTCTCCCTGTTTTCCTTTTTCCATTTTCCATTGAAAAAGATTCCGCTTCTCTTTTTGATAGAAAGATTTTTCTATTTGATAGAAAAACTAGCGCTACCATTCAGCATATTTCCCGTTGTGACATAACGAATTTCTGCCTCATTCCGCATATCTTATCAACACATAAAGGGGTCAATTCTTATTTTTTGAAGGACTTGATTAATAACACTCTTAACACGAATTCATGTTTAAGTAGACGACAGAACTCGTTTAGAACAAACACGCAGTACTTACAACTACAATTCACTCCGATGTTATACCGTCATAAATGACCCTAAAAGATTTATTTCTACTTGATTATAGCTGATTTTAAGGATTAAACATATTTTTGTCTGGTGTTATCATAATTTATAGGAGAAAAACTTAGATAAGGCATGTTGGGACAAAATATTGGTGACCTTTTGATTGGTTTCCCTGATCAAGAGGACTACTCCGAACTGCTTCAATTATAGTAAATAGCCCCAATATTGATATATTTTAATATCCGGACAAACTCATTTCATTCAAGTGAATTATATTAGGGAACGCATTCTCCGTCCTTGGGGTATCAAAGCATCTAGTTCCAATCTTAATCTAGAAATTTGGACACGTCTTGACAATTAACCAAACCAGACTATCGATAATTTGGATCGTATTGATTTTTTGTATTTATGCTTTTATCAGGAGCGTTTATAGAAACAGGGTGGGGAAAACGATATATGACACCGACTAAAGGTTTTTTTTTATTGTTACTTACAGAGGTTAGCCCCCTTTTCAGTCTACTCCTACTTTCTACTGTCTACTGTTATTGATCAATTCAAGTCAAATACAGCTGATAGATTTTTCAGACACTCAGACAACCGATAAAGTGGACATTTCGCTGCTTCTAAAATAAAACCTATTATGGGGAAAAGGGTGAGATATTGTAAAAACACCAATTTCAAAAGTGCATGTGGAAACTACAGACGTTTCATTTCTGTGTTTAGCAGATTATATGTCTTCTCTTTCTTTTTCTCCATGGGAAAAATTTATTTTTTACATCAAAGATTATTACCTCAATACTAACATTCAACCTATCGTTATAAGACCACCTATTTCCTATAAGAAATTTCAAATCTTTACAATTTCTTTATATTAAAATTTGCAAATATTGAAAGTTCAAATATTTTAACGATCTGCTTGAGTATTTTCTCTTTTCAATTAGATCTGAATTGCGAATTGATGACACGATGCATAACAATGTGTGAAATGGGCCTCTGAATCGCTGCCGTCTCATTAAAAATCACTCAAAACCCAATAGACGAATTTACTCAATGTTCGATTTAGAAAAAGTTTTATTTGAATCGAATTCAAATGGGACAAAAGTTATATTTAATTAAATTTAACATCTCTTATTGTTGTTTTCCTGCTTTGAATTTTTCTTCAATTTCTTTTTGCATAGAAAAAGTAACAATGAAATTTAATATCCTGAAATGAATTGTCAACATCGTAACAAAAATGAAACCTTGTGACTCAAAAAGTAAACAGTTTGAAGTTTTAAATGAGATCCCGGGGATGTTTGCTTTTCACGACAAGGCTTGTTAATGGAAACACTTATGATTTGGGAAAAGGAATTAAATCCAATTCTATTTGTCTTCAGCAAATATTTAATGCTTATGCCATCTTAATTAGTACTATCAAAGTGTTGAAATACATTGTATATACCCGATTCTTTATTCCTGTAAAGTAATAGTTGCATAACTTGACAATATTACTTAACTTTTAAAGAGAGCCTATTTATATCCTATGAAAATTATAAGTACTTTATAAAGCATAGGACTTGTCACTCATGTATAAGACATAACAACAAAAGAACATTGTAGTCTTCGAAAAAGGGGGATACCGGATAGATTGGCATTTAACATTTAGTAAAAAAAGTATTACCTTCTTAAAAGGACGAGAACATTTTGATGTAACGGGAATGTGAATTTAAACCCTGATTTGTACTAGACTAACAAGCTGATCTGTTTTTTAACATCCCTTTTCACAAGGTAAAAGTCCGCAAGTAGGCATGTCACTCACCCGGACATATTCTTCTTATATATCTTGACTCCGAGTCTTTGATAGTACTCATTAATGCCACGTGCTAATACCAATTTTAAAGTCTTAAGTTTATCATGGTCGGGGATCGATTGCACGGCCTGGAAAAGGGCGAGGTCACACATTGAATGTAAAGGAAGAATAAAGACTGGAGCACAGAACGACAAACAAAACAAAAAAGTACAATATAAAAACTTTCAACTCCTAGCTAAAACGTATAAAATGTAGTATTCATAACATTTTTGATGTCAATACTGTCTAAAAATATTTTGATTTATCACGTTCTTTGGAACGATCAATTGCAAAGGGGAAGAAATGGCATATAGATTGAATTTTTTCATAATTTTTATCAAATACACGTGCAGTGTTTTCTCATATGTTGCAAAAAACAACATTGATGTAATGATACTCAAACCGATGGAAAATATATTTAAGAAGCGAAAAAGGAGTCATCAGCCACGTGGTAGGCTCATTAGCAAACTTTCTTCCGTCATTAGGGACAAATTTGTTCCATATGATTGCAAGAATGTCGGAGTAATCGGTCTATGGCGGATATCAAATTTTGACACAGATGTAGATTTCAGCTACATGTGCAAATCTAAGCTCCTTAGCTTCAATCAATCTTTCGTCTTTTTGTTTGTTTAGTAAGATTTTTTGTGTATTTTTTCCTAGTTTTTATCTTACTTTTTATAGATTATTACTGTACTTCAAGGATGCATGCGAAATATATATATAACAGACAAGGATTCTTTGACTAATTGAACAGCTCTCTTCTTAAGTTTCCTCGCTCCACCCAAAAAAAGAAGAAGAAACAAAACAACAAAAGAAAAAAAAACAAAACGAAGGAAAAGTAATCAAAATAAAGGGTAAAAATAATATAACATAACATAATCAGTTTTCCTGTCGAAAGTCGGTGGTTTTAGCCGTGCAATCCGACTTCCTTCTAAAAACTGGCCCTCAAGATATAGCCAAGGGTGACGCTAAACATCAACAATCAATCAATCAATAACATAAACAGGTCAAATTATAACAACAAATCGACATTTAGGCATAGATAAATCTGGTTGCGAACATTCAATGGCTCTATACTTTTTATTAATATTTCATAGGTTTCAAAAGGGTTAAATTTTCCGTCCCTATAAGCTCTCCATCCATATCGTGTGAGCGTCAACATATCCCATCCTGTCCATTTTCAATTTATTTTCATTACGAGGTCATATTCTATAAATCATTTCTTATTCGTGCATCTTAATGTACTATATTTTTTCTGCTTATTCATTAAATCAATCAATCAATCAATCAATCAATCAATCAATCAATCAATCAACCAATTAATCAATCAATCAATCAATCAATCAACAATTTAATCGATCAATCAAAATAACCATATTCTCAATAAAGTACAGCATTCTGTATTAGTTTTGTTTATTGTGCAGAACCGTACGTTTTTTTTGTGTGTCTTGTATCATTAGCAATATAGCCTGAGATTCCTATGACGTCTAACGGCGTGGCATGCTGTGTGCCTTGTTGGGGTCGTCAAAACATCAGAGCAATTTCGGCTTTCATAGCACATCTCCTTTTTTACATTAAAAGTAAATCATAATTCAGTTTTTGCATAAACTACATGTCATCTCCGCCTGATCCAGTCTTCTATATCAAATCAAGGGGTCATAATATGACATTCAATGTGCTGGAATTTCACTGGTCATAAGGACTTTGCTTCGATCCTCTTCGTTTCATTTCACGTTCCAGTGTTATTTGTTTTTATATTGATACGGAGATTTAGGCTGTGCGATAATGAGACAGACACCAAGCAAGACATACCAGCAACAAGAAGTTGCACGCATTGTCGTTCTTAGCATACCCCCAATCAAAGTATCGGAATAAAGGAAGTAGGTGTATGACAGATCCAAAAAGGGCTCACACGTTTCAACTCGTGACCGTCTAGCTGCTGCCCAAATAAGAAATCGTTTTCGATTCTTATCAATTAACGTATTGAAAAAATAAGAATACCGGCAAATAGGAAATAGGTGTCTGAAAGCCCCATTTGTTCATACGTTACAATCCATCATTGTCGATCTGTTGACGAAATATGAATTCATTCCGTTCAGTATAGTTTCTGAGGAAAGTGTGACGAAAATATTGTTGGACGAACGAACGGACGGACGGACAAAGAGTATTTGTAAAACGCCCCTCTCAAATAAAGCCATTCTTATTGTCTAAAACAAAATGAATATAGGGTTCAAAATACAAACTCAT